CTTGGCAACCAGAAGAAAGTCGTTCCATGGACCAAGTGTTCGAGATCGATCAGCCGCTCGTACCCGTACCTGGTATTCAGTTCCTGAGAGCAGATTGGTGACGCTTACTGATGGATGCGTTACTGTTTGGCGATGCACATCGAACTTTGCTTCCACACCAGCCAGCTGAAATTACCAAAAATACCAAAACTGACTTAGCAGTCAATGTGAGCATCCTGTGCCACCGGTGTTACACAGATCTCTGAGCTAGTGGTTTTGCTGAGATCAAGTAAAAATAGCACTGTTTCTAGCTCGGGTAGAAAAAAGTAGAAGCATAATTAAACATAAGCAGCTCAAGCCAGCAAGGACCATAGCTTAAAGCCCAAGTTGTAGAAGAAATATGGTGAAGCCCATAAATCACAGATGGTCAAAGCCAAAGATTCAGTTATCATAAAAATTTAAATTTTTTTTCAAAGATGTTTGTGCTTCTAAAAGCAGCCGACATCCGACTGAAACCAGTAATATTTTGTTAGAAAAACTTGGTTGTACGGGATGGTGAGCAAACACAGTAGCGAAGGCAATTGCAAAGAGAATAAAAAAACATTCTAGAAAAAACGAGTCGTTTGAGTGCATTTCAATAACCAGGTAGACTAACAATCATGACTTTAATGTTAACTAATAGCTAGAATAATCTAGCACAATCAAATAAGCTAGCATAATCAAATTTGTTATTGCACAAGCGGATATTGGAACCTCGATGTGATATTCGCCCACTGAGCCACACTCCGGTGGTTCCCACGATATTGCGATACTGTATTGGCCTGTTTGAGTTACTTCCAGATTTCGTGGTGCTGTTAATTCATCTGAAGTTTAATTTGCTTCTTCACGGCAAGATATGCAATATGGGTACAAGATACCGTAATCAGCTGTTTCTAGAAAAATCTTGAAAGAGGAAGCTATTGATAGCTTTTGCAGCTGCTGGTTACTATTAGTTTAGCTACTACTCACTACTTTCCGAGCTCCTCTGCATTTAGTGGAGAGTCAAACTCAGTTCATAACTCAGTAAAAGCGTTTCGCCAGGGTCCTTTTGTTGAGCTGGCAATAGTTTTGTTTTTCAGTCCAAAATCCAAATCATGAGCTTCAAGTTTAAATGACTAAAAAGTCTTAGGATAAAAAAAACGACGCACCAGATTCGCATTTGATGCTAACCATTTCGTTACGTGCTCGTATTTCTGGCGTCTCCACCAGAATTTTGCCATTTTTGCCCAGCACTTTTATTCGTACAAAGTACGCAATTCCAGTCGGTAAGCGTGGAATCTGAAAATTACAGAACGGAATAGCTCATTCCGATATGTATATACTTGATAGTGCATAATGATATGCGAAGATTAGTTTCAGGACCGCCAATTCAATGTGATGACTTCTGAATAGTTACAATACTGTAAAAATTTTTGGACTCTTGTGCATGTGGTTCCAGCAGTGTGAAACAATGCAGCATAATTTACGAGACAGATTCTCTAAGCTTAGCTCTGAATATAGTAGGGCACAATGTCTTGTCGACATGCCTTGAACTGCCAGAGTTTGTACCTCGTCGCGCCTCGATTATGTCCCTCGCACCTCGATAAGGAGCTTCAGTTGGAATTTTGTAGAGTTAGCAATATTACTATCAAAACAGCGGAATAATCAATGCTGAGCTATCTCTTGCAGATTATTCATTTCATTCTCTTGTTCAGGTTGCACT